CTGATAACTAGAATCTACAGAGAACTCAAATTAATCATTAAGAAAAGAACAGATAACCCCATTTCTATGTGGGCAAGAGACTTGAACAGAAACTTCTCTGATGGAGACAGGCACATGGCCTACAAACACATGAAGAAATGCTCATCATCCTTAATCATCAGAAAAATGCAACTCAAAACAACTCTGAGATATCATCTAACTCCAGTAAGATTAGCCCACGTCACAAAATCCCAAAACTACAGATGCTGGCGTGGATGTGGACAAAAGGGAACGTTTCTATACTGCTGGTGGGAATGCAAGCTAATACTAACTTTTTGGAAAGAAGTTTGGAACTAAACTCCAAAGAAAAAGGAACTAAAAGTAGACCTACCATTTTATCCTGCCATTCCTGTACTAGGTACCCAGCTGATCAAAAACTATTTTACAACAAAGACATAGGCACCAGAATGTTTATTGCAGCCCAATTCATGATAGCCAAGACATGGAAACAGCCCAAGTGCCCATCGACCCATGAATGGATTAACCAATTGTGGTATATGTACACCATGGAATACTACACGGCCATAAAAAAGATGGAGACTTCACATTTTTTATGTTTACCTGGATGGAGCTGGAACATATTCTTCTTAGTAAAGTATCTCAAGAATGGGGGGAAAAGTATCCAATGTACTCAATACTACTATGAAATCAATATATAACCAAGAAAGTTATATAGTCAAGAAAGTAGAAGGGAAGAGGAGAGAGAATTGAAGGGAAGGGGGATATGGGAGGAGGGAGTGTATTTGGGGGGACCTCACCTAATGAGCATGATGCGATGGTACCTTTCAAAACTATTAAGAAATGAGTATAATTGTGATGGATGTGTTAGTTCAGTGTAAGCATTTCCCAGCATATATCAAAGCAGTACCCTGAACCCCATAAATGCATCAATGTACAAAGTTATGATTTAATGAAAAATAATAAAAAGAAAATTATTTTTTAAAAAAAAAGAATGGGGCTGAAAAGGAAGGAACTGCTGACCTGTGTGACATTTTAGATAAACTTTATAAGTGATGGGCTAAGTGAAGAAGCCAGGCATGAGAGACCACATATTATATAACTCCATTTATATGAAAGGTTTTGAAAAGGCAAATTGATAGAGACAGAGTAGATTTATGGTTGCCTAAAGTTGGGATTGGGTTCAGGGGGTAGCATGTGGGATTTTATTGGAGGGATAAAAAGGTCTTGAAATTTATTCTTGGTGGCGACTGCATTACTCAGTGAAGTTACCAAATTTTATTGAATTGTATACCTAAAATGGGTAGGTTTTATGACATGTCAAATATATCTCAATATTTTTATATGTATAGATATACATTTTTTAAACAGAGAATAAGTCTTAGACTAGATGTACCAATTTCCAGGTTGTAAATCATGTCTTGGTCATAAACAGGCTGAGGAATCTTGGCTCTGGGAGAGTTGTCAGAATTCTCGAGGTGACAATAACTTTAGATTAGATTCTAGAATCAGTTTGTAAAACACTGTTCTCTTTTGAGTTTGTATTTTGACAAGAATTTCAGTAACTGTCTTCTGTAGTATTCTGTCTTGTGGATGAGAGAGAAAAATGTGAACCAGACCAGTCAGGAGGACCCTGGTTTCATATTACGGACTTTGGGGAAACTCTGTCTTTCTTTATCCTACCTCTCAATTTTTCTCTTTTCTCCTCCACACTTGACTTTTTTGCACTAATAATACATAATAAGTCTAGGAAATTAAGAAGTTTAAAGGACCCACAACACATTATAGGCCCATTTCGGACATTTAGGTGGTTTTCTGCTTCTGAGTTTCCAGATCATGCCACATTGAACTAACTACTCATCAGCACCTTGGGGTGTTTCCGAGAAGCGCACAGTTTGGGTCAGCAGGGATGCACTCTCAGAGTTGGGTATCCATATTGCCCAGTTATTTCCCCAAATCCATCTGTACAGTGCAGGATTGGAGTGATGTGGATTTGCATGCAGTGTTGGTCCAAAATATGAGCTGGCTGTGGAATTCACTGCAATTATGGGCTTTGTCATTGGATATGCTCTGTGCAGAAGTGGGGAGATGGTGTTACCACTGCACATGAGGTGTACAGACAGCACCTGGGCTATTGATTTTAATCCTGGGCATCAGGCATCAAATGAGACTGGCTACCTGACTTTGTGCTGAGCCGATGGCCAGCACAGGACAATGTGTCTTATAAGGGGTAATTGAGGCATCCCAGGCGCAGTTGCTTGTGAGAAGTCTGGAAAGCCTATCATTAACTTTAAGTATTTGAGGAGCTGTCATGTCAAGAGAAATTAGATCACTTTGTGTGGTTGTAAATGCAGAATAAGCAATAATGGGTAGGTGTTCCTGGAAGGCAGGGTTCTGGGCAGTGTTAAGCAAGCCCTGGGTAACAGACCAGTCCCAGGATGGGTTGGGCTCCCCCAGGAAATTACAAGTCCTCCTCTCCCTACCTCCCTGGAGATAACCCACAGGACAGCAAATGCCATTTGGATGAAGAGGTGATGTCCATGGAATTCATCATAAGGGTTCCATTTGGGTACCTCTGGGAAAATGACTGTGAAGTTAAAGTCACTGTACTGATTGGGACAGGCTTTCACAAACCCTGCTGAAAATACTCTTTCTGCAATCACCAGTTATTCTCTTGCTTCATAGAGGAAAGAAGTACCTATTGAACTTTTAATCCCACTTTTTATGTGCTCAGCTCATCAGGGAATGAGAGGTTAGGTTTCGGGTGATCTTGGATCCGTTAGGTTTCGGGTGATCTTTGACGTTCAGTTGGGTTGTTGGACTAGCTGTGTGAGGACATGGCCTTTCTCATTTGTTTGTATTTTCCTTGTACGTTATGGTTTGCCTACCCTAAGTCTTTTCGACTTCAAGATTCCCAATCTTATGTATTTGTACTGTTTCTAAATTTCGGCAACATTAAAAATTTATCAACTTTTCCAGTATTACAGAAACAGCAACCATTTTAATTATGTCTTTGATACTTTTTAACATGTATTTTTCTTGTTTTGGTATTATACTTTGAGAACGTAGAAAAATAACTTAACAGGCCACAAAATTCCTGAGAAGATGTGGAAGAATTACCCATCTCATTTTAATGTTCCTTAACCACAACTGATTAAATAAGAACCTAATCCCTGCCCTTGCAGAGGGAGTCTGGGAAACAGCAGAAGGGGCCCCCAGGCGGCAGACTCTGGCTCCACCCCAGAGCAGCTGAATCAGAATCTGCATTTGAACAAGACGCCCTTCCTCCCTGGTGGCTGTGCTGGGGAAACTGTGGGGAACAGTCATTATCTCACCTCTTGTTTGTTTTATTTTTGAGCACCTGTTAAAAAGTACCTGGGAGTGTGACTGTGTTCTTTCACAGGCATGAGCCCATTTAATCCACGGGACAATCCTCTAAAGGAAGTGTCATTAGAGTCTCAGAAAAGTTGTCACCGGACCTGCCAGAGATATCATCTAATGACACTTCCTGGAGCCCGCATGTCCTCAGCTTGAGACAGGAAAATTGAGGCCCAGCTCTGACCTGCACACCCTGTACCTCTGGGCTGAGCCCAAGGCCTCGGGAGGACTGCAGAGGCAGCTCAGTCCTCAGCCTCTGACCCCGCATGGTTCAGTGGAGCCTCGCTGTGAAGGGAGGCTCTGCATCAGAACGGACTCTCTGTGCATGTGTGTGTGTGTGTCTCAGATACTTGTTAGGGACCAGCTCTGATCTAATGTTTCTCAGGCCTTTGTGACATCCTGTTTGTTTTCTCGGATTCTGAGAGGGGAAATAAAACTGATGATGAAGAGTGGCCTTTAATGGCTAAGTAATATTTCTGTTTTCCTGTGTACCTCCCTCTTCTTAGGTGTTTAAGAAAAGGCTTATGTTTGTCACTCTTGGTACACTTGTGAAAAATAATGAGTTTTTTACCCCAGTAGTAAACTCATGGCTTGGAAATCTCAGGATATTTGAGTTTTCCTAAAAATGTGAGATTCCGGCTGGTTGCAGTGGCTCATGCCTGTAACCCTAGCACTCTGGGAGGCCAAGGTGAGCAGATGGCCTGAGCTCAGGAGTTCTGGACCCCTGTCTCTACTAAAAATAGAAAAACTCCTTGGGTGATGTAGCAGGACATGCAGTCCCAGCTACTTCGAAGGCCTAGGGTGAGGATCACTTGAACCCAAGAGTTTCAGGTTGCTGTGAGCTATGACGACACCATAACACTCTAGCCAGGGCGACAGAGTGAGACTCTGTCTCAAAAATAAAGAAGTAAAAAATAAGTTTCCAGTTGTTTTTTAATAAGTACAGGTTCCTTTCCACTTGGGGAGTGTAGGGGACACAAATTACTATCCTGTAGTATACCACTTAACAAAATAAATTCTGATAATTAAAGCAAAATTAGTGAAATGTGTAGGATACTTTATGTCAGGCATCCTCTAACTATGGCCTGCAGGCCACATGCAGCCCGCCTAGGACATTTATCCGGTCTGCCGGGTGTTTTGCCACCACTGCCTGTCCTGCTTAGCAGCCGACTTGTCCCGGGGCCCCGCAGTCTGGCCCTCCAATGGTCTGAGGGACAGGGAACTGGCCCCCTGTTTAAAAGGTTTGAGGACCCCTGCTTTGTGTAATATGCAATGGTTCATCTACCTACTCTGTGTTTAGATTTAAGTCCTAGGTGTGATCTAAAGAGGGGGAAATATTCTAGAACACACCAAACCTTTCCTATACTGTCCCCACCTATTCTTTACAAGATGTGGGCCACATTTAACTGTCTGCCCACTGCCACTTGGTGGTATTTTTGTTCCTCTTGAGGTACCATCCCATTTTCTTTGTCTTTACTACCACTGACATCAGCTTATTTCATATAAATGCATCATATATTAAACACATATGCAATGAAAATATTGTTTTGATTTGTTTTGTGGATTGTTTCTCTTAAAGGGCATATCTGGGGAAATGAGTAATTTTTCATATCCTGTTCTTGCAGGAAGAATTTTAAATCGTTTCTCCAAAGACATCGGACATTTGGACGATTTGCTGCCTATGACATTTTTAGATTTCATCCAGGTAACATGAACAAGTCCTTACACACGGACAGTTGAAGTTCTTACTTTTTTTAAGTCCTTTTCATGGGGATTGGGAGTGGGGTTTCTCAATGTGTAATGTTAACTTAGTGAAAGGCCATGTTTGTCAAAGAAAGGTGTGGTTGTGATTGGGAGGCAAAGTGAGCGTGAGTAATCGCCCGTGTGTGGGAGTGGCCACACTCGGGCAGCAGCTACTTGCTAGGTAAGTGGCTCTCCCGTCTGCCTCCCAGGGATCTGGCAGGGATTTCGCTTTACTGTGAACAGATTTCATAATACAGAAACAATCACCTCTCACGGAAAGATAGCCTAGATTAATTAAATTATGCATTGTATTACCACAAAGAGCAAATATTTACCTCACCTTTTTTGAGGGGATAAAACCAGGTGTGGTTACTTACAAAGAAGAGATTAGTAATAATAAGGTGAAAATAATACTTTGTTAACAAGGACAATAGTGAGCAGTTATTGCAGATACAAAGACTTTAAAGGCAGGGACGGTTAAGCCAATTTGAGTACAGATCAAAGTCATCTCAGAAAATGTCTTTTTCATTTTTTTCTCAGCTTTTCTTTTCACACACACATTGATTGCTCAAAGTCTTAAGCTGTCTGTTTAACAAATAAAACCCCAACAATCCCAGAGACATACTTTCTTTAAAGCATTTGTGTCCTCTGTGAACTTGAGGTTCTAAAGAATAATGTTGGGTCATCTCATCTCTCATCTCGTTCATTATTGTTACACGTGTGGGTTTTGCTCCCCCTCCCCTTGTTTAATTCTGTCTATATTTCATTGATTCTGGCTGGGGAACTTTCTTTTTTCCCCAGCTGTTTATTTTGGAAATGTGTCTACCAAAGGCTGCACACAACGTCATGAATTTGAACCTTTTTGACTTTCCTTGAGTTCTGGTTTATACTAGTTTCAATCGTGAACTGAATTTAAGGCTGAGAAGTTGAAATGCTAACATTGGGATCCGTGTTCCCTACCGTTTTATTTTCCAGTGCTCAAATGCTCCTCATGTTAAATCTTTAGGTCTCCTCTGAGCTGCTGTGATAAAAGGAGCCACATTACTTAAGGTGCAAAATTAGCTGTGTCAGAAAAATCAGTCCTAGGCCTGAAATGATTACAGGAATTCCTGTTAGTTGTATAGAGAAGGAGCAGGGATGATATGCAAACAGTAGCCCATTGGGCAAAGGCAGTGACTGAAGGAAGCTGAGACTCACAGGCAGGTATTTTTATTGCAAACAAAGGCCTCTGACAAATTTTTTAAAACTGTATTTATTTATTTATTTTTGCTGCTGCAAACTTGTTTCCACAATGTGTCCTGCTGAGTTTAGCTATGTGATTTACCCCAGAAGCAGTCTTTCTCCAAAACAGGTTTATGGTTTTCACAGAATGCAGATGACTGTAAATCCACATTTTGACGCTGATTGTTAATGACTTCGAGAAGATTTTGTGGAAAGTTCTTTTTCTTTGCGACGTGAGCGGCTGGCCCACTGTGTGCTTAGCAGAATGAGCCATCATAATTAGAACCTCTCCTGTTTTTGTACGGAGGGACAGGGATAGATGCTACTTGATTTCAATATAAAACATTCTCAGCAGCAGGAGAGAAAATTCTAGTCTCATTGTTCTTCCGTTTCACCAGAGAGACAAGGGTCTTTTGTATTATCCACTCTCATGATCTTGGTAAACATATCATTCTGGAACACTGCTGGTCCCAGTTAGCTGATTTCTTAAATCTATAGCAAAGGTTAAATCTTAATGTTGATCATAGCGTTTCCCAGAAAGGAATTTTATATTATATAAAGGATAACTCAGTTATCAATTATGATAAAGGTCTATTGTCACTTGTTTTTGTTTGCAGGTGTCTTTAATAAGGCTCCCCATAATCCCTTCAGGAAGAAATATTTTTCTCCTTTTAAAAATAGTATTAGCTAAATATAAAAGCTCTGATCCCTGCCATTGTTGTAGATTCTTTGAGGGACATTTCCCAACACTCATTGTTTAAATGGTTGTCAGGAGGAATCAAGTGAAACTTCATAAACAATGCAGTAACTGGTTCATCTTACTTTGTGAGCAGAGCCTTTCCCGAGAGGATTTGCATTCGATGAGTGGGCTTTTGACTGTGATATCACTGAGATCATTTTGAAGTATTTGTGCTGTTGCTATATTAGCAAGTGAAGATTTTTATTAAAGCCACAAAAATGAACTTAACCTGCCCTCCAATAAAGGACAACAAAAATCTAAATGTAAATTGATTTTTTTTTTCTTAAGTTGCATAGGACTCTCTAAGTATGAAAACAACCCAGTGGTGTTCTGGGACTCTTAATGGAATCATGTCAACTTAAAATAAACACTATTATGGTAAGCACATAGAATGAAAACTAATTTTCCAAATCAAATACATTATATTCAATTCATTTTCCCCAATCAACCAAATGTTTAAAACCTGTTAGTTATAACAGCAATCTTCTGGAAATTAATTAGAAGTCTATTAGCTCTGCTAGCTGAGCCGAGTGAGGGGTTGCTCAGTACATTTCTAAGCAGTCTCCTGAGTTAGATGGAAGCAAGGTCAAAATGACAATCAGCTTGGCTCACCTCAAGGGCTTTGCTTAAGTAGTTGATCTCTTTTTTGACAGGGCAGGATTCTTTTTCGAAGGAAATTGTATCTACTTTGACTCAGTCTTCCAATAGATTTGAAAAATGTGAGTAGCGGTTAGGTAAACCTTGCAGGTTGCCTGAATGTTATCTGTGTGAATAACAGACCCCTCTTGAAAGCACATGTGGTGAACAGAAGATGGAGTCGGTCAGGCCAGGGCCCACATGACGCAGCTGGTCTGGGCGGTTTAGGTCCTGCCTGGCCTTTACCTCACGTCTCCCATTCTTGTTGTTTTAAATTGAAAGTGTATATCTTGAGTATTTTAGGGCAGTTGATTTAGGAGATTAACTTTTGATTTGGAATGTTGTTTTGGGTCATGGGTCATGCTGATTATTGTTTATATGGGTCATGGGTTGTCCTGATTATTGTTTAAGATAAGGGTTAGCCTGGCTTTTACTTGAACTTTAATGTATAAAACTGTAATTTTGGAAATGGAAGAACAGAACAGTCTTGGAGAGGTTACTCTCCCTGTTCTCTAGAATTGCCAACCTTCTGACAAATAAAGTTTGGTGGACCTATCCCTTTTCTGCAAATTGGCTGATAGTGACAGGTGACTGGACCCTCTTCATCTCAGATGGGCATCTCAGATGGAGTTGACCATTAGACCTCTTGACTAGCTCATCAGGTCATCAAAGGCTGCCTTTTAAAACTGAGATAGTAGAAAATTTCCTGCCTGCCTTTGTTTTGAGTGCCATTAGTAAATCCTGCTGCTGACATCAGGGCACCCTCCATCTGTTTTAATGCCTCTCTTCAGATTCTATGAATAATAATCAGGATGACTCTCACTTCCTCCCATCTGGGGAAACTCACAGGAAGTGCAGTCTTCTTAACCCAGCAGCTGAGGTTGATGGAAGCAGTTGAGTTTAAAAGGACTGGGAATTGTGAGGAAGTTCCCCTTGGTGTTGTCCAGCAGGAGATGAAGCTGTCACTGATCTGGGGGGCAGCCGCATACCACCTGTAGGGGATGTGTACAGACCCACAGAGAACTTGGAAGGAGGTGTAGTAACAAATACCATCAAAATCCAGCAAGAGCTGAGATATCTTTATGAAGATTTAATCTTTCCATTTATCAGAATGTTCAGACTGAGATTGCCATGCTAATGGTTTTTTTTTGTTTTTTTGTTTTTTATAAAAGATACACACATGGTTGTGCTTTTCTGGAGAATTAAAAATTGAACAGCTATAGGAATAAAGACTGTAATTACACTTATCCATGTGAACTTTTTAATCCAGTCCTTGCATGTTTGGTTGCCTTTTCTTTAAAATAATAATAGTTTTGTTGGTTTTATAAGTTAGAGTTCAGAACTGTGGACCATTGGGTTAGAACGGAATTGTTTCCAATAGAGTCTGGTGCTGAGTCCAGGAGGGGAGAGACCCACCGTGGCCTCCCCCTGCCCTCTGTTTCCAGCGTCTGTCTGGAGTGTAGGCTCTGCCCAAGCCAGTCAGAAGTCAGGGACAGATTTTAGGGTTCTGCTGATGAAATGGCTGAGATAAGGAAAATCGCAAACAACGTGAGAAAATTTGCTGGCCAGGTAGAGGTTATTTACCTAATTGGTCTCTCGGACTTCAACAGAAGATTATATTTGTGGGTTTTCGTTTGCCTGTCTTTATACTGGTATCCATGCTAATAGGAAACAGTGACACAGCCAATTTTGAGACTGGGCGTCCTTCACTGCTGCTCTCTCTCGACACAGAGGGGAGGTGAGGGTACTGTTGGTAGGACGTTGAAGCCCAAGTTGGCACGGGGTGGGGGGGGGGTGAGTTTTTAAATGACTAGGCTGTTTGGCAGGGTAGGCTAGAATTGAAGAAATTTTTTTAATATGTCATAAGTAACAAGAATGTCATTGAAAACAAATAGTAATAGAGAATAAAATAATAGTCTGTAGGTTACGTAGTATCTTTTTTTTTTTTTTTTTTTTTTTAGCAGTTTTGGCCAGGGCTGGGTTTGAAACTGCCACCTCTGGTATATGGGGCCAGCGCCCTGCTCCTTTGAGCCACAGGCACCGCTTGGTTACGTAGTATCTTATGGTTGCCATGGGCTGATCAGATAAGTCAGCTACCCCTGGCAGTGCACATCTGGCTTATAAGGTGTTCAGACATGTTTTGTTTGTTTACTTTCTTCAAAAATCATAACAGCTCTGACTGTTAACAGAGCTGAGATTTAAGATATCAATAGATTTAAACTAAAATATCTATGAAAATATTAATCAAAATACAAATAACAAATAATTCACCTAGACTTTGTGTCCTTTGAATAGGGAATTGGGCTTTCCAATCTTCACGTATTTGGGTAAACCAAGAAAGATGGTGATCAAAATTCACATTGTTA